ATTGCTTGGCAAAACATCTGCGTTTATTATTAGGCAAATCGATGTTAAATAGCCAATAACTCTCGGACCGAAAACAATCAATCAGTTTACATATTGGAAGGCTGGTCGTTTTACTTTCGATGTACAGTATAACATTAGTTGTCACGACTAACTGATAAACTTCCACAACGGCGCTTTCGATATAATTTGTGAAAACATTACGTTTGCCAGTCTCATTATTCCAGAGTTCTCGTAGATCTTCTCTGTGAGCGACAAACTTTGTGTCCTGATTGTAAAATCAAACATTTCGGAAACTCTTACTCCTCGAGATGGTCTTGTGCTATTTTTATGTGCAGGTCGACCTCAATCTCTCTTTTTAAAATAAAGTTTTCATTTAATATCACGCGTATTTTTGTAATTGTATTTAAATGTAAAAACTCCAATAATAATAATAATAAATTTCCATTGATGCCCTGGTTCTTGTACAAAAGACATTCGTAATTCAATTAGCGTATCAATCTTATTCTGTGCGCGTCGGCGCAATTGCGAAACGTCTGGATTTCCTTTTTGAATTAAAGCTGGTGAGAGGCCCCGTGCAATTTCTCTCGGGAGAAAGCCCGCGGGTAGGATAATGCCGCGTGATCCGGATCTCTCACACGTTCGCGTCACATGCCGTTAATCATCAGATGCGTTATTGAAGCCACGATTCGCGCGTCGAAGCGCGTGCGACTGAAACGCGTGCGATTATCTGTGACTTGCGCAATCTTTTCCGTAGATTGTCGCGGCGATAAATAATGTAACGCTGTAATTAAATATACATAGAAACGAGTCATGGTGATGATGCCTAAATGAATAGCCTTCTTTTTCATCCGTAAAAATAGTATCGATCCAAACGTATTGGCACTGTATTTTTGTGACAGTGATAAAGCTTTTTTCTAACTACGTTGTTCATTTCCAAACTGTGTACCGCTGCTGCGACACTCATTTAGCCCTCGTTATCGTATATTACATGTATCGTATATGCACGTATGTACAACAGCGGTTTGTTGTGTGAAAAACACGAGATGTCATGTGTACGTCGACGCGAGATAAAGTCTCAACGTGAACAGTGAACGATCAACACGCGATAATTCATGGCAACTATCGTAAAAATATTTTGTTTATGTTAGATAATTATTTTATCTGAAAGCTTTATCTGACATTACGACATAATTCTACGGTGTCAACAAGATTGTCTTACGGAAGCGTAAAGCAGGTGTCAATGTTTTCGCCCCTTATATTTCGCGATAGATAAATTTCAGAATCATTCTCTTCTCATGGAAGATATGAGAGAATTGTTCACATAATTAGCATCGAACGTAAAATGCCATCGGTCGCCTGTTGCTTGCAACTTGCAACGTTCTGATCTATCGCGATTGAAATTTCACTGTCGAACTTTTTGATAACAAGGGTGAAACATCACACCACTTCAAAGATATCTCGTTGCGTAAAACCGATAGGATTGTCCAATCGCTCGGAAATTGAGACAATTTTGGTAAACAGCGCCTCTTGCTCTATCTTCTTCTCCTACGCGTATCAGGAGCTTTGTCATTATTACACGGATCACATCCGAATTTATCAGAAGATAAACTATATCAATGGAAATGATAAACGCGTGTTAAAAATGGAAGAGAATTTCCATTGTCGACTGAAGACTCGAAGGACCGTGGCTGCCTGGCAGGGCCACTCACAAAGGTCCCCCCTAAATGATGAATAGCTATTTTCAACAATAGCACACCTAGGTACAAGGTTAGAGCATAAGGTCGGATACTTTCCGGACAGACCTCGTATGTACTATGTAAAATATATTATAGAAAACTTTAGCGCTTACTCTTATTCTAGCGGCTTAAAATTCGTAGACACAATAATTACAACACAAACTCTATAAAATCCCAATACAATTGATTCTGCAATATATCACAAAATATTCTAGTTTCCGCTCACTAGTCGCTGAGTCACGTGTTTACGACAGTAAACAGTTGCTAAACAGTCTTCATTGATTTGTTTAATTTAAAATACTTGCATATTAGGAAAACCATCAGCGCAATTTTGCACGATTTTTTCTTTTCAAATTTACCCCGAAAGGCATAATTGTAAGACAATGACCTCGGTAATGGTTCTATTGTCCTTCATTCAACCATTTTAGTCATTTTTACATTATTGCGTTGAAAGAGATACTTGTACGTGACTGTCAAGTTTGGAATCGTATTAATAACACAGCGTCATGATGATTTACGTAGAAAAATATTCAACATTTCCAACTGATATCCGTTGTGATTCTCATGCAAAACTGTGCTTGTCAATGGGGTCAAATCCTAAAAATACAGTTCAAATCGATCATCTGCGTTTTAAATCGGATGTCATATTTCACTAGTATAACCATTTAAATTTCACAAATGACATAAAACTTTATATTCCGGCAAATCTATCGATATATTAAATTCGTAGTATTTGTATAAAATTGGTAGAAACTGTATTAAAAAGTTCTTCCCTACAAACGATGTTTTAACAATCACGATTAATAATTTCTATAATTCTCGTTTGCGTAGTTCAGCTTTGTTCGGCTCAATAATATGATTTTCGATAACTCATTGTCAGTGCAGTGCGAAGACAAATGCCCTCTTATTAATTTACCTAATGCGAATGCACTGAATAAGTGTCAGTTCGATGAGCAGCAAGTGTTGTGTCGCATTTACGTCGGCGGAATTAATTAATGCACTTGAATACACTCGTGCCAGATAATAGCGCAAGTGGTAAAGTGTTAGCACGTCAATCCAACAAAAGCAGTCAATATGTAAACGAAGAACGGACTCATATTTTTCCAAATAAATCCCTCTTGGAGTTTCTTTCAACAACTGCGTAAATAAACTTGTATTTTTCGACACTGAAGTGATCTTTTTTAATCTGGTTTTGCATGAGAATCACAATGGATATCAGTTGGAAATGCTGAATATTTTTCTACGTAGATCATCATGACGCTGTGTTATTGGTGCGATTCCAAACTTGACAGTCATGCGCAAGTGTCTCTTTCAATGCAACAATCTCTTTAACAAGATACAGGATTGGACAAACGTTACATTACATTCAGTGAAAATTGCAATACATCCAACTATCGTGCAGTATCACGAGAATATTCGGAAAGCAATTTAATTTGGTCTCAAGAAGTTAAGTAAACGTGAAATTAAAGCGGAATTGCGTATACAGGACATTGTCCTAACAATTATGTCCTGTATAAATAGAAGGGAAATTTAACAAATCTTATTTTTTCCCTGTTATATTGTAAAAAAGAATTTATCACCTGGAAGACAACATTTTATTAGACAAAACATGAATTCATCGCAGTTACATGCGGTACATTTACCGCGATAGTTACCGAGTCTATTCCCATATTGCTCCGCAAAAATTAGCGAGAGAAATATTAAACTTAATATTGAACTGTGTAATCGAGACGAAAACCGCCGAGTAACCTAGGCGACTAAAATACTTCAACAGATTGAGCGACAACAGAAAATTGCCATGGTCACGTAACTCTTGCTCGCTTTAAATATACATGACCAAATCCTTTACGCTATCCTTTGCATTACCGGTCCTACTTATACAGAGGATTTTATATAATGAATAAAGTGTCATATTAAGAATTCCACCAGTCATGCTTAAATCAAACGGACATATGAGAAAAATGAGATGTGTTTTGCAGTGTACCAAAATACTTGTGTCACATTAAAGATACCGCTCGATCACGGCAATTCGCAAAATATTGGTCGTCAGAGGTGGTCGATAATCATCTTTGGACACGCGATGTTCACGCGTTGAATCGCTTTTTTGGAGTTTGCTCCCGTAACACAACTCGTCGCTGAAGTTGCAAAATGTTATCATACCGTTATCGATCGTTGAACGAGGATCAAAGTCTTGGGCAGAGGGTAATTACGATATTAAACCGGCCTTCCGGCGATTACGTTATAGCGTGGTTCAAAGAATGCCTATCGATAACATGTGCCGTTCTTGAACGCGCATGTATAGATTAACATTGCGTGCATCTGTTTTCCACTATCTCCCGCAATAACGAACTATTTTCCTATTACGCAACTTGTTGTGGGACAAGACTTCTCCTTGCTTCGTTCCTCTCTCCTTGAATTGAAGTCGCGGATTGCGCGGTAATCAAATGCATCTGCGTTGCAAATAATAATTCCAAAAGTATAAAAAAAAACTAATATGCAACTATCCCTAAATTGGTAAAATTACCTGTAAAAGTTACGTAAAACATTATCTTGCTCGATCGAACTTGAATTTTTCTCAATATAATTTATTTTTTCTATTGCGCATTTGCACAATAGTCGCGAAAACACTTCAAGTATTTAAATTAAAAGTAAACTCTATTATCTCAGGACAAAAACAGATGAGATAAGATTGTGCTATTGTGCTTATTGTTAATAATACTATGATAATGATTTAAAATGTTAAAATTTATCATTTCGATATTTTATTATTGAAACAATTGAGTCCACTCTGTTTTTTTTGTCAGATGTAATTGTTACTGCTTCTATCTCCGAAAGTTCACGCAACTTTTTTTACTATCACAATGTTCCATAGAATCATTAGAAATAATGTTCAGTTTAATAAATCCATCTGTTCGCAACTCAACTGGATTTTTCAAGAAACCTTAGGCCCGGTTTCACCAAACTTAACTTTAATTTAGTTCTTAGTTTAATTCATGTTTGTAGAGTAACAGTTGGAAAGAGACAAAGAACGAATTAAGCTAAGCTTAAAGTTAAGCGACGTTGGTGAGACCGAGCCTTAGTAATAACGGTATGTTTTTGTCGAGAGCTCGCGTAGAGAATCTAAGAATGAGAGAATCTAAGAAAGCTTTAAAAAGAAGTCACATTAAGGATCGTAAAAATGGAAGTTCTCTACATAGAGAACCACAAACTCAATAATTGATGTTAATACGTGCATTTTACAAGCGGCCATTCACTGTATTACAGTACGGCCGACAAAACATAGAAAGCGTAAGGAAGAAGAACGGTACTCGGGATCCAGATGAAGCTCTTAACGCAGGAGAGGAATGTGAATCACCAACGATCACGGAAAAAGATTCAGCAGTAACATCGCCTAAGCTGCAAAATGGAAATGTGAGCAATTCGGTGATAGCCAGGTCGAAGGACTTTATCTTGGTCCCAGAGCCAGAAATGCATAATCACAAGAACCTTGTCGACGGATCGAGCCTCGAAGATAATCACGAGTCGTCAATGATTGACGACAAAGAGGTAAATTTTTGGAGGCAAATATGTACGATAGATTATACTCTCGTCAAGTTATACGCTCGATAAACCATGTTTTTCTCAACTATTTCTGATTACTTCAGGATAGCCTTAATGAGAAGAATTCGTTTGAAACGCTAAGAGCCGGATTTGCGCACGGCTGTTTGGATTACATCAGAGCTGGCGTTGAGGCTATTATAGAAGACGACGTGACTTCACGCTTTGAAGCTGAAGAACTTAAGGTGATATTTCATTGACAGTCATAATTGTATTGATATTTGCGTTGTGATAATTAACACGCTTGAGTAATTTACCTGTGTATCCTGTAGAATTGGAATCTATTGACTCGAACGAATAGATACTACGAGTTTATCTCCTGGAAGTTAACTTTCATATGGATGTTCGGATTCGTCTTGCGTTACTGTTTCCTGCTACCCCTAAGGATATTTATCTGCTTCATAGGGGTAAGTTTAATATCTATTTATATTTTGGTACATCTAATATATGTATTCAGTATTACTGATATATTATATATGTATATCATAGTAATACTGAGTACATAATAAGCGACTAAAATTGCGACAACCGATATTTTTTTGGCCTCGATCTTATTTAGCGGTGTAAAAATTCATTTTCTTCTTCATGTAGTTAAATTTAAATAGCCAGTTGTGATCTTCCATAAAGAGCCAGATGTGATTTCTAATGTTTTCGCATTTTTAAACGCACGTTGTAGATTTGTGACACTATGTCTAAAGTTACATTAAGTTTATTAAGATGTACGTCTGAAATATATAAATTTAGAACTGTACACGTACTAATATCAAAGCTTCTTAGGTACTATATCTCGTAGTCGTAACATTTTTAATCGGCTTTCTGCCGAATGGCCGTATAAAACGTTGGGGGAACAACCAAGGCTCCCTTATTGCGTTCAGGATTATGTCCCGTTCTATCTCGGGTATGATAACGGTCCACAATCCAGAGTACAAACCTAAGAACGGAGGAGTGTGCGTGTCGAATCATACGACCACCCTCGACGTCTGCATTTTATCCACGCAAACGACATTCTCTTTGGTAATTTGTCGTGGGTGAAACAATATATTTATAAGCTGGGAGACTTAAGCGCCGCACGATTATTCATGGCAAACATATCTACTGTTCGTTAATAGCTTTGCATTGGCTATATTTCACTATTTCATCGCATTCGAGAATGCTGCAGGAACGAAATTCATGATATTACATACAAATTATTCATATATAAATAGCAATCATGAAGTATCATTGTTATGACATATATACATTACCTAATCCGTATTACTCAAACTGTGGGAAACAGACAGTATACGGTTTTTTTTTAACCCCGATAACGCTGGATATGAAAATACGATAGTTCCTTCACGTAACAAAATGCGATTTTAATCCGTTTGCTTTCGCATATGGCCGAGAGTCAGAAGCTTGGTACTAGTGTTACAGAAGTTGTTGCGCATTACTGGTAAATGTTACAGGTAACGTGTCCTGTAACTTTGGTTTACAGGTAGTACCTACTCAGCAACGATAGAGAGGGAATGCCACGTTTCTCAGGTGCAAAGCTTGTGGTTTACAGGTGATGTGGCTGACTGTGTGTACTGCAGTAGTGGGCTACGTCCCCGAGGGTAGCTTCAAGCGGTGGCTCAACTACAAAGTCTCCATAATGTGCTTTGCTGTCTTATCCAGTGCTCTGTCTTCAGTCATCACCTACAACAATCCAGAGAATCGACCTGTCAGAGGCATATGTGTAGCTAATCACACATCTCCTATTGACGTGCTCGTACTCATGTGTGATAATTGTTATTCATTGGTATGTTTCCGACATACCGCTTACGGATACCACATTTAGTGCTTTTTTGCAGAATGATTTTTTTTTGCTTTATCTACTCATATTTTTCCGGACATTCTTAGAATAATGTTATTCTGCAACTGCACGACTACAACTTCTGTAAACATGCTCGCCTCTCATTATTAATAATATCTCATTATTAACAATTTCGTTGCCTTCATCATCGCTCTATTAAAATGTTGCAAAAATCGTACTCTTCTCAGATATCTACAGATTTGATGAGGCATCTAACATTGACTTTCCTTCGTCAAAATTGAGCAAGATCTAATAAGGCCTTTATAATTTCATAATGCATAATATCAGGTATATGAAAATTAAACTAGAAATCTATATTAAAATTAATTTATATTCAAATAAAATAATCTATCTTGATTATTTAAGAAACATTTTGTGTTTCTATATCTTTCAACGAATATAACTAATGATATTGAAATAATTGCCATTCTTCAGCATCTGTAATTCGGAGAAAGTATACGACTTTTGGAAGAAAATATACATAATTTTTAAATACCGGTCAGATCACCTCATTTGCATTTTTTATTATAGATAGGTCAGAGGCATGGTGGTTTCTTAGGAATATTACAGAGAGCTCTTGCTCGTGCCTCTCCACATATATGGTTTGAACGCTCTGAGATCAAAGACAGAGTAGCAGTTGCGCAAAGGTGCGATTACTTAAATGCAAAGTTATGTTTTCGTACCTAGATAGCCAGCTGACGTTATTTGTCTTCATATTGACATTAAAATTACAACTTTGCTGGCATTTTGACGTTAAAATGATGACAAATAACGTCAGCTGGCTGTCTGGGCATTTCATATTTTTACAGGATATTGTTGTTAATGTCTATTATGTGTCGTGCAGATTAAAGAAACACGTATCGGATCCCACAAATCCACCGATACTCATATTTCCAGAGGGTACGTGTATCAACAATACGTCAGTTATGCAATTCAAGAAAGGCAGCTTTGAAGTGGGCGGCGTTATCTATCCTGTGGCTATAAAAGTAATTTTTTATCATTAGCTCTGATGCACATCTTTGTATAATATTCTTTGAAAAGAGTGCTTCTTATACTTGTTTTCCTTTGACGTACAGTATGATCCAAGATTTGGAGACGCATTTTGGAACAGCAGTCGATATTCGATGTTACACTATTTATATATGATGATGTCCAGCTGGGCTATAGTCTGCGATGTGTGGTATCTTCCTCCAATGTACAGGAAGGAAGGAGAAAGTTCCATCGATTTTGCGAATCGAGTGAAATCTGTGATAGCGCGGCAAGGTGGTCTCGTTGATCTGCAATGGTACGTGTGGCGTTAATTCAAAGTTTCGTAGGAAGTAGAATTTACATATGATAAATAAGAATTATACACCTATTTTGTAAATGGTAGGGACGGTCAACTAAAGAGGATGAAGCCGAAGAAGGAATGGAGGGAAAAGCAGCAAGAAGAATTCAGTAAACGACTGAAAGTCGAATAAATAGTATCATTTCTAGTCATAACTTCACAATACGCATCTTGCGCGATGATTTGTTTGTTTAAACAAAATCATTTTATCGGCTCCTCCGTCACATATTATTTCCGCATATGTATATCATAAAGAGGAAATCTATGTGTCCCATTAGTCTGCATTAATAAATTTTAGATGTAGGTATTTTCCGCAAATATTGACAGTTTGCACTTTTTTGACAAATTTCTAAATACGAGTAATTGGCACTCTGACATTACACGAGGAGTATAATATCGTACATTTGTAATTATACAAATTTAACTTTTCAATATAATTTTTAAACTGATGTGCCGTATGGCTCATGCCTGAAGAATTATCATTTAAAGTGCAAATGTAATATTTGCTAGTTTTTAGTAGTGAAGTTCGATAATTGCAAAGGCATTACGAATTTATTATTTATATGTGGAATGTGTAGTTATGTTATAAAACGTGTGAAATACTTTTTTGCATGTGAGTGTATGTAGCATCGAGAAACCTTGATTATTGATACATACTATGAAAATTATTAGACAATTGAACAGTCGAACAAATTAGACGAGGTACATAAATTTTCTCTTATCTCTAAGAATAGTAAGAGAAAATTGTCCTAGTTTTAACTGTAATTAAAAGAGAAAACAAATATTTATTCATTTTCTGAAGAAGACTTAGCGGAATGACAACGTGGCACTCCGGATTATCTATCCTTTAGGAATACTGTGTACATGATTGCTGCATTATGTTATTTTTCTATTAAAACTGGATAGCATCTCGATATATATATTTTCTACTTTTATATTTTACATATATAGAATGTGAACATTTTTAGCGCTCTATATTGCAATGCATGTCAATGTAATATACGGTTATGAATTTAACATATAAATAATACACGCGTGTGCATATTAATGTAATCTGATATTAACCTAATTCAAAAGGGTGCGTTAAGAACGAAAGGGAAATATGTACAAGTATGAAAAGATGTATTTTCTCACACTTCCAACCAAAGGTAAATAGCAAGTTTAACATAAGTGCTATTTTACTATTGATGGCATTATTGTAATAACTATTAGTAAGTAATAATAGATGTTGTATTCATTTAAATGAAGATGACACCTATTATAAGTTCATACTACTTGTTATATATTTTATAATTATAATTTGGCCTAATTCTTATTATAAATAAAAAATTACATTAAATTTATAGTTGATAAATTTTTTATGAAAGAAAAGTTTAACATTTAGCGATGAAGGAATTATTATTACTTACTTTCAACTCGTATTTTCGGAGAATTCTGGAAAATGAAATAGAAATGATTAATGTTAACTAAATGCAATAAACAATGTTAATTAGATGATACAATTATTGCGTGGGGAAGATAAATTGTAAGTCGATTTATTTTCCGAAATCATCTTTATCGTAACGTCATAATGTGCTCATTATAAAATATGCATGAATCCATTTCATAAAATTAAATTTCTAAATGTCATCACATACAATTTGTAATGTCACTGTAAAATTTCTTTTTTAAGAAACGGTATAAAATATATTTTTATAGCAAATAATTAGTCAATAATATATGATATGTAACTATATTGCTTATATTAAAACGTAAGAAGTCCTGGGGTTATGTAAAATTATTTCGTCTTTTATAAATACAATTAAGTTGTTACATAGCATGTATATATGTATTTGTTATCGTTCAGCTCATATGGGAAAAATGTATTATATAGTGTGTATGGATGTAATATTTTGAATGGCACTTGTTTATAATTAATGTCTGTCGATGTAAATGTAGTTAAATAAATTAAAGTATATTAAATAAAAATTGATTTGTATGAAAGTGTTGCAAGATATATTTAAGAGTAGAAAAAGAAAGATTGTTTTTTCAGAGTTTAGACGGCACGTTGTATCCTTAAGTAAAGAGTAATTGATCATATAATTAGGAAAGCAAATGGCACTATATTAAATTTCTTAATTTGTAGGCAATATATTGTCAATTTCTTCGATTACATAACAAAATTGGTGTCAAGGCTAAGAACTGTATTCATAAATGCTCTGTTCAAACGTATGGCTATACAAACGTATATTTGTTCCTTTGTTCGGAGGTTCACTCTGTAAACATGTAAATAAGTTGAATTAACGTAAGAACAATAACTTTGAATACAGATCTTTGTTACATTAATTATGAGTAATGAATAAACTATTAAGCTCTCTATTTTTCAGCTTATCTTTTTTGTCTTCGTGTGTTAGATATAAATATCAATATACTACACGATACTACTTTCCTTCAGCAATACATATAATGCTCTAACATTTTAAATAAATAAAGCACTAATCTCTTTGGCATGAGACTCAAGTGATAATGATGAAAAACAATAAATAACTTGTATTAACGTTAAGAACGGCTATTCCTGATAGGTAAGTTTTTAGAATGTGCTGTAACTAAAAAGACAATACAAATTAAATTGGTACTCCTCCTTGTAATTCACTTAAACTTTTACTCTGATTTTGTGCTCAATTAGGAAGCAGCTTGTCATGGTAACATATGACTGTATTATGACCATGTATTCGTTACAAGTGCATTATTCATTTGGATGAAACAAATATGCAAAAGCGTATGCATTATTATTTGTTGCATACTTATTCTTATTGAATATATTTGTAAACAATCTCTCAATATTTTCTTGTATTAAAAAAAATAAGTTAACACGTTAGACTACCGTCTCGCTGTTAACAAATATGAATGACTTATATAAACATTAACACATATAAATTGTTTTACCACTAGATCACAATGGCTCTTGGTAATATTTAAATAACTATATGTTGCGACTAAATTATAACTACTCTCATAATTATGTTAGATAAATCGAATTTGTAAAATAAATTAAAATATTGTAACAAATATATTGCGAAACGTTAAGGGTTTTCATTATATTTAATGCGTATTATTGATTATATTATTGATAGCAAATCCGTTCAAAAATGGTTAGTATAAAATGTAAAAGGTTTCTAAAGTTTTTATTATAATTAAAGCTATGTGTGTATACGTTTTATATCAAAATTTATAAAAAATATATATTTTCCACAAATATATATGTCCAAAGTCATATTGAAATTAAGTTTTTAATCGAAAAAATGGACGTTACTATAGTACGCTACGCATTGTAATGGATATTACAGCAAGCATTGTGAATTGCAATGAAGCGATTTTAAAAATGTTCCATAACCATGTGCTTATTTAGAATGAGTGATTGTTAAAAGCGAATTTCACAATTTTCATCCTTATTTAAGCACAAATTCCCTCCTTTATTCCGACAATATTATAAAAATCCTGAATTTTCCTGAATATAGCACAAAGCTTCGCTGTTATATAAGAATAGAAATACGATAGATTACTATAGTATCAGATTATGACGTCGTTATAGTCCATGTCGCATGTGCGCGCTAGAAATTATAAAATATTATTTTTTAAATCCATATTAATTTTTGGATTCTGGACTTGTCAATAACATTGCTCGTTCGGTATAGGTAAAGCAGTACCTTTTGTTGCACATTTGCTAAGAAATTTGTTTTATAGTATAGCGTATACTTACTCGCTTATCCTAAACTGCGAAAGAAAGGCACAAAGAAATATATTAGAACGCTAACTCTAATAAATGGTAACTCTTCTAAAGATCGACGATACAAAAATCAATGGAGAACGCTTTCATAAACGTGGATGGAACGCTTGTTTTGGTTCGCAACACTTGGCAAGGTGGACAACGTGAGGCGTCTGCAGAGTTTTACGTCGTATTATGCAGTCGACGAATCCTCGACAAGTGAGCTTTCGGCATCGTTAGAGACAAGCGTATTTTTGTTCACACTGTGAACCTGTCTTTTCGGTTTCGGTGGCGGTGTAGGCGGTTTGGAGATACCTAGATCTTCGTCGAGATCATCGTCGGTAGGTGTTGGCAATTTGTTTTTCCACTGCCCCGAAGACTTGTTGAGATTATTTGAAGTAGCCGCACACCGATTAGCAGACAGCTCCTCTGGAAGATTACAGTAATCGGCTTCGCGCATCTTAATCGGTAGAGGTGGTGGTGGGTCGTCCTCGGATGCTGTACTATCAGTTGTGCCGACGCTATCTCTATTTCCCTTTCCCAAACCGCTTGATTCCAGTCCGTTGTTGATGTTCCTTAGATAGTGAGATTGGCCGGACCAACGATTACTCATTCTTCTTTCTTTCTCCGCTTCCGACCTCAGGGGACGTTTCGGCGTGAGCTGTGTACGAGAAAGCACGTTGTAATTATATTTACCTTAAAGTCGCGAGCGAGGCAACGTTCGTAAGATCTTCATTACCTCTTGCCGAAGCTCGAATACATGTGTTGAGTGTAAATTAGATATTAAGGATGTAACAGACGATGTTCCCTGCTGAAGTGAGCTGTGGGATATTTCGGTTGTGGTGTACCATTGACTGGTCGGTTGATCGGTTTTTGTCACTGTCGTAGAGTCACTCTTTCGTGAGCTTCTACGCTTTGAATCCTTTTTTTTGTACGTTCCTGGACTCGGACTTCCTAGTGCTTTTTGCAAAGATGCCGTTGATAGGATGTGTGAACGCATGGAATTGTTCCTACAAATTAACAATGTCCGCTATTAAAGATGCCTTTATTAAAAGGAAAAAAAAAACTTGTAGCTGTACAAACGAAAGATAGATACCAACTACTAGCAATTGAACAATGTGCAACTCCTGATAAGCAATTGAATTTCACAATAAGGTAAATTAAAACTTGTAATCATTGTTAAAGTAAAATTTCCCAAACATTGTGCTGTACGATCGTATTTTACTTATCATGTTGAGGGGTCAGCATGATAAGAAAAATATCTAATAATAATCGCGATGTCATTCGAGCGTTGCAACAGTCTCGTAACACAAGTGTATGTTTTTAATTACCTATCGCAGTTATTGTAGACTTAGGAAGTTTAGTAGAGATTGCCAGTTGAAGAAGATATCTATTCCAGGGATATTTATGACGATAGTGTGAAAAACAAGACCATGCAGATAAAAAGCAAAGTAAAACCAGTGTAAGAGACGCTTGTAATCATAAAGAAACCAGTACTATACTCTTTTTGTTACATTTACAATTAAATACTGAAAATTATATTTATAAAACATGTAATGTGGCATACAAAACAGCTTTTATTGTCCTATTATTTATTGATGCTTTGGTGCAAAAACTTTTTTTAAATTGCTGATATGGACTTCAATATTATTGATTCAATGCTAATTCTAACTTTATGAATATTACCTACCCTCGAATCATGTGTGTTGAATAGAAATTAGATTAGTGCAAGTTAGTGCTATATGTGTGCTAGGTGCAACATATATTAATTTTTGTACTACACTGCATAGAAATTAAATAGAACAAGCAAAATATTAAGCGTTATGTGTGGTGCTTTCATTAAAATATGAAAAATATAAAAGAAATATATGTATATAGGAATACTAAGTGCGAAGAAAGGATAATAAGGTATTATGCGAGAGTTTATCAGGTCCAACAGCAATATTCCTGAAATCATATTGCATTCTATCACGTGTTCTAAACGGCACTTTTATATTATTCATCTTCCATGAACACAGAACGTGATTTTTATACTAGATACCAAATAAATCCGTGCATCTAACAATTATTAATTAAAAAATGAAAATATTTATAAATATTTAATATAATATCCAAGTAGATACATAAACATCTTGTTGGCTTAATAGTTTGAATGATCGAGATTAATTACACTACATTTAGTTTATCTACGAAAAGAAATACTTTAACTTTTAGTTAGTGAGCTGAAGCTAAGTTAAACACTGATATGATGACTTTACCTTGACAAATTGACGCTTTGAACATTACTTGGAGGTGTGCTGTTGTTAAAATTGAACGATGTAAGCGACTTGAACGTTGCAACTTGGGATCTTGTAAGTGAGGATACCCTGTAGTGAGTTGCACAGCTGAACGAGGTAATCACAAAGTAGCTGTTTAACTATTTTATACAGAATGTTACAGATCAACAATGCTCGATCTTTGATACATTCTGTATAATACATACAACCATTCATATTGTCTTTACTTATAGTATTTAGGAATAGGTCTCGTAAGATAGCCACGTTATTTTATTTTTAACACAAATAAAGACAATGTTAAAAACAATTGAAAAATTGTCGCCTTTTAAGAGTTAACACTTTTTTGTAAATGTTACTTAATTTCAATAATGATAGTGATATAGCAACAGCATGCTATGCAATAGTTATATCTGTGTTAGTTACGATATATAAATACTTATTAATAAAATAGTAAACATGCTCTGCAAGTATGGGCAGAAAAGCTTACTCTGAATTATTCATATTTGACTCGGACAGGCAGTGATTATCTCCTCTGGAGGTCGGTGGTCTTCGCATTGTTACGGTTTGCGTTAGGCTTTCAATTTGCAAGTCGCAGGTCTGTGTTATAGAAGAAATTGTAGATTTAGAAATCTAATGCCGTCTATCGACCTGATATTATTTCAATATTGACTTGAATGGTTAGAAGCATACCCTTTTTCCATATTTAGCTTCTACTTGAGTACGCATCGACATGAAACATTGCTCTAAACGTTGATGAAACGGTGCCAACTCGGTGGGCGCTCGTACTTTGTGTAACTGTAGACCTACGCTGAGTAGAGGGATTTGCTCTGCAATAAGCCCCTCTAACTTCAGAAGATCCGAGCTCTCTTCCGGGTGACTGTCTCTGTACTCTGCGTTGAGAAAAGCCTTTTCATAGTTATCGATACCACCCATAACAGCTGGATCCAATATGCCATTTAATTTCATGCTCAGAGGATTTAATGGAAGACTGGGATCGCTCCTGCATAACAAAATAATTACATGAAAGTTTATAATGTGAATGATAAGGGACGTATAATAAACAGTAAATCAATTTCATTTCAACACGTATATTTAGTCTAAAGATATAGGGGTGACGTGTGATTTCGTGTAAAAATGGTTCATAGTTGACAATATGTGCATAAAAAGATGTGCAAACCTGCTAGCAATAATGAGATCCCTCAATGCTGTGTTTGTAGCTTCCATAGTTTCAATCGCATTCCTCAACGGGCTGACTAAATATGTCTCGCTAGACGTCACCGGAAACCATCGAAGAATTCCCGGCAACGGATAGCTTGTAACAAGTACTGTCCTTTCCAACCATAACGAGGCAAACTCATTGCTGCTGTTATTGCTAGTATTTATCTCCTTTTCCTTATCGCTACTTGTTGCAACGATTTCCTTTCTTGGAGCTGGTCTTGAAAATCTAAACCGCTGCACATCGTTAACACGATGATATCTAGAACACAAAAATAACGATAGTCACAGAAGTACAAGAGAAAATTAATAGAAAATTGAAAAAGGAAATTAAACTATATTTAATATAATGTCGAATACACACCTTAAAACTGCTTCTGCGGTAACTGGCTTACCACTTAAACGATGCCTTTTTTCATCCATCAGTGGCTCTACCTTATTGATTTGTACATACTGATGATATGATTCTAGCATTTCCGTGGTGGGCGGAGACAATTTATTCATTTGCTCTGCATTCGGTAACTGATTCAATGTTCTCGTACAAAAGTCGCTGAGTCGTTCGTATTCTTTTCCACGATAAACAAATACCTACGTCACAAGTATATTATTTCGTTGAATGAAGAATAGAAAAATGAATAAGATACAAGGTACATTAAACACATGACTGTACCTTGTTTTGAAGAAAGACAGGGTGTCCTCTGCCGTAATACGCGACTCTGAAATATTCTGCTTCAGGCCTTAACTGCTTTACTATACAGTCATAAAACTTTGCCATGCGTCTTAATAGTACGGACAGTTGCAAGTAATCAAACGTTTCTTCTTCGTATTGCGAGACTAGTTCCTTGCAAACGGAAAGAGCGCATTCCCACATTCTTCCTTTGTCAAAATAATCAATAATATCATTGTACAATGCTTCTTTCAATTCACGATGTGTTTGACACAACGGATATCTAGAAAAAAAGATACAATTATTTAATATTGATTTTATCTTTCAAGCTCTTAGTATACATCTATTTGATAATATTACCTGTGTGATATTAACAAAGGTGACAAAGGCTGATCACTCCAGGCTAATAATTGACTGTGGAGCTTTAAAGAATAAGCTGCTTCTGTATAATTATCACATTCTAGATGTAACTCGCACAGCTTATTCACATATCTGTACATGGAAAGAGACGAAATCATTTAATATACTGTAATATACACTTAGTATTTACATTTCTATTTTTACGGAATAGTTAAATATTAAAAAAAATCTAAGCCAATCGCGTTGATTTAATCAGACTTAAAAAGGTACACAATAGAAACGTTCGAATTATAAAAATATACGAGATTTTTGCACTCACCTAATGTACATTTCCTTTCTATTGATCTCAGAATAGAATTCCAATAAATTTACGGTGCAAAGCATACGATGCTCTTGGGATTCTGCGTGAATAATATCGCGATATTGCAATAAACGTTCCATGAGTCTAGCTATAGTGTCTACGAAACGTAAGCCTTGCTCGCGCATTGTGGAGTGTTTCTCGCATAAAGAACTCATAACGTCAGTCCAAAGTGTGCGAAATTGTTCGTCACCTCTGCCTCCTTCAACCTGTTGAAACAAATCTTCGATAGAGCAACTTTTCATTAAGATAATTAGCCAAGTAAGTTTCAATTCTATTTCCTGTTTCAGTATTTAAAATTATATATGCAAAACATTATACCAGAATATCCAATTTTGCGATCATTTCGTTTTCGTATTCTGTAAAATTAGCTTTGATATGTGCAGGATCGCGCTTAGTATCCCCATATCCTTCCACTATACGTGAACTGTAGTACTCGCATTGCATCATGTCGAAAAAAATAGGTATAGTAGCTTTTCTTAATTCGGTGTCAGGTATTAATGCCATTTCAAGGATGGCACCAACTAAAGCGGGCACAAACAGTATTTTGTGTTGGCCCAAGTTGAACCACATAGACCTGATTTCGAAGACGGTTGCTCTATATCGTAGGAAAACAGAAAATAATATTAATTTCACTTATATTGGCACATTTTCTATTTATACGAATTAATCTCACTTTGCTTAGTTATATAATACTCAATAAGTAATTATACCTAGAGTGTGTTGACTAAGAAGTATTTGTCTCGTTGTTAAAGGTAATTCTGTATAATTATTATATTACATAAGCGACGTACCTGCGCATATCTTTATAACGTTTAATAATTCGATTTCGTTTCGCTGACGTAAATGTCTCCAATTGCAGAGCAGGTTGAGTCAAGAACGCAATAGCGCAATGAAAGAAATTTGACCATGCTTGATGTTCGAACTCGGTGAAAAAATAATCTCTAATCGTGGCCGAGAAATACCGTAGAGAATTCAAAACAATGTGATTTTGAAGCATGATCATTTCACACCAGTCTCCTGGAAATACGCTTCTAGATACCAGATCTTTAAAGACTAACAGTATCTCCATAAGAAAGTCAAGTAAATCGATCCTTGTTCCGAAATGGTTGATATACACTTCGTAATGCAGTTGCGTCATTTGTCTGAAAAAAAAAAAAGAATCAGGAAAGAAAATAAAAAGATATGTTTCGGTCCCTGTTCCTCTTGCAATATTTTACAATTTTGAAATCTTCAAAATACCTGAATATCGCCAACATTACTGAAACCAAATTTCCAACCAAGGGATTTTCTCTGTCCATTGATATAACTGTCTGTATTATCGTACGTAAGGCTGTTAACATTATTTCCTTGACATCTGAAACCGTGCTACCTACATCTTTTCTAAAAGTCAGTTCTAGAATGTCGGATAATATCTTGACGCATAATTCCACCTATAAAAACGTAGAAAAACATATACGACAAATAGATTGCTCGCGAGTTGTATGTACGTCTATGAAGTACAAAGAGATACGATTATTGCGTAAATACACACAAATCTACACATCTAAATTAGTGTGTGTGATATGGTATACACTCTGCAATCTATACATTCATACAAAAAAAAACCAATAACTCACGTAACGCGAATTACCGACGCTAAAATTGTAATGCAACACAACAGATATAAGTGCAAAGTACACCAAGGTTCTCTGTTAAATTGTCTCAAAGTCATGATGCCGTGAGAAACGCGCATTATTTATCTGCATAGGAGGATTTTGGAATTTCCTGCACTTATTGAGACAGAAATTACCTCTTCGGAGTAGCCGCGATGTTGGTTGAGCCGATGCCGATTTTCGCCGAGCAGCCTGGCTACCTTCGCCACGCTCTTTCCAGGCGTACTCGATAGCCCCTTTAAACGCCATTAACCGAAACCAAACCGTACAAAAAAAATGAAACAACCCTTGTTAGTTAGAAAAAAAAACAATGCAAATTTTTCTAAAGACGCATACGACTACATTACTGAAAAGTTTTCCCGTCACCAAAGTACGTATACAACTGCAAGAGAGACTGCAGTATCACTAAGCGCAAAGTAAAACGTCAATATTAACAGAAAACTACTCGTAATATTTAAAAACTGTAGATTAGATAATATCTATTGTATTTAATAATTATCTAATAGTTTTGAATTTTTTTCCGTGTCACGGAAACTTTATATTAAATAGTTTCATGTAAAAACCTATCGCAAAATGCTGGAAACATTACAGTAACATCGCAGGACAAACACATGCCACATTCCAAGTTTCAAATCCGTTCAAGTCATATTCCTTTCACATGCTTTGTCCGAGTGAATAAAGGATGTCTTTCAACAGGAGTTGTACTTTTACACAACTTACTATCTACTACTAATCTTTATTATTATTGCATTTTCTGAGATCACAAACTATAACATATGCAACTACTTTATTCCTTTAATGCAAGACTTGAAAATCGGCCAGCAGAATGTACATATAATAGAGAGTTTAAGTAAACCACAGACAATTTAAGAGATAAAAATAAGACATCCTTTGTAAAAAGAGAAGTTTGAAGGAGAAGATTCATAGAAAGATGCGTGGCGGAAAGATCGCAGGCTGCACGGGAAGCACGAACAGTAACATTTATCGTACGCCGCACTGAACGATATTAAATGCGAGTAAAAATGGGTCTGACCATAATTAGTTATTGCAAATGTGTGTAATTAGGATTAATCATGAAGTATTGCGAGAATGTATTAATGTATGAACTGACATGATTCGTTGCGAGATACACAGACAAGTAACGAAACATTCCACTTGGCTTAAACTGCAAGTTAGGAAATAGCATTAGAAGATAGCCATACTCTTGCCTTACCTCCTCTTTGGACTCCAATAAGTCTCTCACGAGTATAGTAATTCTTGGTAATAAAATCGCTCTACAGTCCACATTCAGGAAAAGCGGACTGTGGACGATGTCGTTTACGGTCATCATTTTTTGTTTGGTTAATCTACCTGTCGGTAGAGTCACAAGTAGATCTGTTAAAATCGTGCTCAATTGCTTGCCGCTGTAAACTCTTAATAAATGAGGTATCGTTGTCGGTAGGTACTTAAGACAGGCTCCTTGAACCAACAGAGTACCGTCTGTTTCGTGACTCATGAGATTAACGATGGATCGTAATAGATCAGTTAAGGTTTGTGAGAATTCTTCTTCGTCCTGATTCAACCTGTGAAAGTAAATTACAAATGTTCATTAGAAACCATGCACACTTATTTCTTCAAGTATATAATCACAGCTGTGTCTTCATTACATTGTCGCATTTAGACAATTTTCGAAAACGTTTCATTTATAATCGTGTAACGTGTGAGAAAAGAATTACATATAATGACACACAAAACGTACTCGGTAAATAAAAGGCGAGATTCGACAATAAATCTCATGCAGTACTGCAGACTTTTCATCGTCTTAAGCAATAAATCTCGTTCCTGAGCGTCGCCGTTGCTGACGTTGTCTATACGCTTGCGCAACACCGCAATTAATTTCTTATATGCAAGAGTTGCAGAAAAGCTTTCAGAAATATATAAATCTAATACTGGTTGGAAGTGCTGATACTTTCTATCGGATACGAGTCCGATAATATATAAAAGGCACTCAAAGACTATGTCATCGTAGACATCGCTGTCTGAATTACTCATTAAGATGTTAAATAAGGCGTCCAAAACATCCTGAAACGTAACGCTGATCTCAATACAATTTTCCTTTACAGAAATCTCATTTTGTTTTATTACACAATCCACTTTCGATAAATTCAGATCTGCCGTACCTGCAGAAACTTCACTATTTCCTCCCCGTCAACTTTCATTAAAGCAGCTAAAGATTCTTTCAAGTCCGTATTGTGCGATGCCCAATTAAGTAAACCTAACAGATCTACATTCTGGGTTAATTTAGTTGAGCAAATATTAGTCGCTATCAAAAAGCTATCCTTACTGCTTAATGTTAGCGAACCTAAGCTTGGCTTCTTCTCCATGTTTAATGCAGCCTGAAACAATAAAGAAAAGAGTTAATAAAGTGTGACGTTTTGAAGAAATCAAAATTTCTTTCAATCCCTTTGCCAAATAAGTAAGTACCAATTCTCCACGTGTCGATGGCAGTTTGAAGTAAGAGATATCACTCTCCTCGTATTTCTTCTGCTCTAATTTGTAAACCAACAATTCGTGCTGTATGTCTTGTAGAGTCGTTCCATTGCGTTGCATTAATCGAACATAGCTTAAAGCAAATGGCTTCTCAGACCTATCTTTCGCCTCGTTAGAACTGCGATGCTTAAACGTGAACTTTAAGTGGGCCTGCTTAAATTCTTCTATAGGTATGGCAATCTTAAACGTCTCGCACCATCTAGGCTTGTCCTCGTGATAATAAATTACGCTACGGTACTCGTCAATCGGAGACGCGCCGCCACCTAATGTCATGACTCCGGGGATCGCTACACCATGCTCATTGCATACTTTGACCTGTTAAAAGTTACAAATACTCGGGCGCATGTACTTACAAACGCAGACAAAAGATGCATTTCGAAAATTTGTATTCTCACTAACCGTCACTTCCACATTTTTGTCCGTAGACTTGGAGCCTTTGCTGAATTCGCCGCTGATTAAAGTCAGATACAAATCATTGCGTACGTCACCCGGCAAAATTACTTCTGGGAACCCCATTTTACGCGCGATAGCGACGTTACCGAGCACCAAGTGTGGATTCTCGTCGCGTACCTTTGTACAAATATTCAAATTAATTGGAGACTATGACTTTTCCCTTGGGGCACAATCGGAATTGTGACTTTAATTCAACAACATCAGTGCTTTATTGACCGTATCTGGCAATTTTAATAATATTCTTATCAGTCGTTTATTTCGAGACTCACTTGCTTTGGATCGCCCCTCAACAATTTCAAGCTGGTCCACAAGCCTTGTCCACCCGTGACATTGGCAACGTTGCCGTTGATATGTTTCTGGGTACTTGTTTCTTTCTGCCCGATAATTCTGCGCAACGTGCCGTCAAGGCTGTCCTTCTCACAACATCTGAAACAAAGGTAGGAGACCAACGAACACGAGTCCACCTCAATTTTATAAGAGCCGGCGTGTCTCTCCCCGTCTAGACGGTCTCGATCGCGAACGCTGCGCCTCACAAAGCCGAAAATATCCTTTTCAAATGTGCACTTACTGTATAAAAGGTATAAAATGATGTTGCTCGACATCACCCTCGAGCTTGCCGGTGATGAATAAGGTAATATCCATCGCGGCCACGCCGAACGGTCTCCTCATACTCTCCGCGCTCTTGGATTTCGTCTGGCTGGCTTGCGTGACGCTCGAGCGACGGTGGTCCGGTTCTTTGGCTTCCATGCCGCCTATTCTGATCACGTAACAAGCTAAATAGACCTTGTCCCTCGTCAGATCCCGGGAGCCGAGATCCGTGAACAGCACTCTGAGATTGTGCAGCTGATCGATGTCCCGAGCGAGCCCCTCCTTGCTCCACGACACCACGTAGTTCTCCGTGATGGCCTTCATCTCTCTGCCATCGTACAAGGTCAGCAGCAGCTCCACGTCCTCCGTCATTTTGCATACGAAGTTCCTCACGCTGACGAAGAAGATGTGCGAGTACACGGGTACTTGCGGCTTGTACGGCTTCTTCTTGGTGTCGTTGCACGCCTTCCTTATCCTCTCCGCGGCGAGCTCGTGATGGTAGTACAGCTGGATGGTGCTCGTCTCTATGGGATTCAGAATATTCCCGTGCTCGTCCCGCACCACCATGTCCAGGCCCAGCAGCTGATTCCCGGTGTCTATCTTCGCCGTCGTCAGTCTCCGCATGTCCTTCAGCTCGTCCACCGTTAAAGTCCCGCTCAAAATCTTGCTCCTGTAGCCGATCGCGTCCAGGATCTGTTGCTGCATCGTCCTGAAGTGCTCGGAGTGCGTCTGCGTACACAGAATTACCGAGTTAGAGAGGAAGTAGAGATACAGAGATGTTGATAAAGCTGGAGACGTGGTTAGAGAAGAAAGTGGAGGGGTATAGAGTATTGGAGACTTCAACGCAAGAACTGGGAGCGAGGGAGGACGGATAGGAGTATTCGAGGGGGAAACCGCTGACCGAAATCTTGTACACCAATGCCCGCTAATGCCCAGTGAGCATTACTTAATCTTTATAATGCCTCAGCAAGACCCAATGCCCAATAAACGCCCTAGTAATGCCCAGTAATGCCGCGAATCTGTACACCACAATGCCCTCAGCGGTTTCTCCCTCGGGAGTATCTTCTTCTTCTTCTATGACTGGCACAGGGCTTAAAACCAAGCCCACAAGGCCCTCCGAGGTGAAGCTTTCCTCACTACCGTCTCCAATATACTATCTAATGTTAAAAACAGTGCAATGACCCGGTAACCAGGCCACGCGCTGAATGATTCAATTGGATGACGCAACCCCGCAGGATCCAAAAATGTTTCTTCGGTCCGAAGACGTGTGTATCACTCGGCGTGCCAAACGGAACTTCCTCGGGAGTATCGGAGGGACAAAGATCAGTAGTTGGAAACAGTAGGAACTCGAAGGATAGGAAACTGAATAGAGAAGGGAAGAAACTGGTAGAGATAATTGAGGAAAAGAGGATACATCTATATCTTATTTCTCCAGAAACTAAGGTGATAATTGCCAGGCAATGAGCGCCCCGTACGTACCACATACAAGTGTTTCCAGTGGTGGCCCCATTCTCGCAAGACGTTGGTAATCTCCTGCACCAAGTTATCCGTGCTCGTCGGTTTCTGCAGGATATGTATGTAGGACTTGGGAAAAATTCCGCAAGTACCCTTAAACTTGCTGCGGCCGTAATACCAATCTGCACATTCCGCAGTTATTTGTACAACCTCGCCGACCGTTAAGCATATCGCGTGCGGGATTGGATGTGCAAAATTATGGATGGCTAAATAAAGTGATAAAACACGTAAAATAAATAACAGGACACGTGTCTGGGTCTCGGGGGGGGGGGGGTGGTCCCGGGACGGGTTTTCGGGCGAGGTTTGTCGCGGAACGCCCGTACTCCCCGCGCTCACTTTCAAACTACAACTTTAACACGCCCGCTGACAAGATCGAAGACCGTTTCAGCTCTTGCGTTCGCAACTCGACAGTGATCTCGGGATGTAAAATCTCTACGCACTTTCGACGCTACAACAATAAACTCCGCGCCAAGCTCGACAAGGGACAAAGTACAAAACGGGGAGTGTACGGTGCTTTTCCGCGACAAACAGTCGACGTGCATCTCAATGAACCACACTCATCGGAGACAAGGTCTGGGAGTAATCAGCGTTGTTTTCCAACGACAACGGTTTTTCCTGAGTAAAAAAAAAAGGGGGACAGTTCGCCGTTCGCTCGACGCACCGTCGCGTAAAATGCTCGATGCGTGCGCGCGGACGTCGCGCGAGATACGGGCAGGCAAATTCGGGCCGACGCGACGAGAGTTTATCTCAGCTCGGGGGGAGGGCACCTCCCAGGATGTTGGGGTCCCGCGTCTCAGGTTATTCGTTCGCGCGGTTACGCGGCACCGCTCACCTACTCCCGCGTGCTCCTCGATCCGCTTCCAAGTCATTGTCATTTTATCCCAGACTGCTTGGCACCTTCTCGGAGGAGATATTTTACGGCAATTACATGTCGAACCGCGAGCCCGTCGCCAGTGCGAGTGGTGCGAGCGAAGCGTCGCCGTTCCACCTTGCCATCTAACTACAACGCCTCGAAACAGGATGTTACTTCTCTACCGTATATTGCCACAATGAGAGACATGAGACAGGGGCGACTGGATGGAGCAGGGGCGGGCGCGGCGGAGGGGGGAGACGGTACCGGGGGTAATACTGAAGGAGAGCAAGAACCACACCGATCTGACTGTAACTTAGCAATATTATGTATTTCGATGCGTAAAACACAACTGTGAAAGTAAAAATCGTCGCTCTGCCGACAGAAAAAAAGTTATAACGTGTTGAAAAGTGACGGTTTTGGGGTTAGGATACCTGTCGTACCGACACGAACTGGCGCTATACGGGTGCGGCGCAGACTGACCGAGCATGCGTAGTGACGTAATAGTGCGCGAAATTTGAAGTGTGTATTTATAGCCATAACAATGGAAGCAATGTGCAAATTTCTAATTAGAAAAAAAGTAAAGTAAAGTGTGCAAATTAGAAACTTGCACATAGCTTCCTCATAGAGGAAGCTTTAAGAGCGAAATAAGAATAATTTGAATACTTTCAAGAAACATCGTAGTAAAGTTAGATTTCTCTCTTAAAGCTTCTCTATGAGAAAGCCTTAACAATGGAAGCAATGTGCAAATTTCTAATTTGCCTACTTTAATGATGAGGAAGAAATGTGCAAATTTCCAATTTGCACGCTTCAATGATGAGGAAGCAATATGCAAATTTCTAATTCGTGCGAAAGCTCAATTAAACGTATAGTCTTTACTAAAATATAGTCTTTACGTGTGATTGGAACTTTGTATAGGTTATATAAAAGATATATAGGCACAATATTTGGGAATTTTCTAAGAGGATTAAAAGCTCATAAAACCCTGGCCCTCTAAAGGTTAAAGAGACATTTTGACTTTTATATTGTGAGAACCGAGTTCCGTTCATTCCGTTCACGCCGAAGATATATCTTTTTACAATGTAGAACATTAATCCTTTTGTTTCCGATTCGTTGCAATATTTTGGAGAAGCTGCACAGTGCATCGGCTAAACATTTGCCTAATACAAGTAAATATTGAGCCAATGTTTAACCAATATTTGGTCAATGTGCTACTAGGATGTGGAATAATGATTTGAATTGTTCGAACCGTTTTCTTCTTAGGGATAATTCAATTTAACAAAAAGAATTCTCAAATTTTTATTTATTAAATGAAACCGGAAGAAACCTTCCTAAGAAGAAAAAGACTCTAATAACCCTTTTGTATAATTTAACACAGACACTCACTCCGACAATTTGTCTAATGTTGTCCAATCCATCCGCGTCATGAAGCAGCATAAATAATTTTTGTTGTGAACATCGTGGAAAAACAAGGTGTTTATTTGGGCAAAAAGATTACCGTACAAAACGAACGATTGGATATTTATATCCGCAAAGATATCACAATAGGTCTATATATAACGCTGTACAAGCAAATGATGTATGTACATATAAACCGGGATAAGTAAATAAACACGCAATACTGATCGCTTAGAGTGCGAGTAGAAGCATCGAAGGATCAACCATCAAAGGCACGAGAATCGAATGTTTCGAACTTACCAAAAGGAGCACCAACGAAAAAGAAAAAATGCGCAAATATAAGTAAAAAGAACGTGGTTTTACAATTGTTTAAGAATTGTTTGAAAATTTTGAACATGTTTCATGATTGTTTCAACTATCAGAAAAATATTCGTTGATATCTTTGATCTCGTGCCTCGATTTACCTCGTTCATTGTTGCTTCCGAGAATTCCTAGAATCTGAACCTCCGAGATTTTAAACTGCGAAAAATCGAAAAAAAGAAATACAAACAAAGCAAATGCGATAGAATATTTTGACTACTCTTACAGCTATGTTTTCAATTGCGTTAATCATTCGGTACCGAGTAAAGGAACGTGTAGTTTTTCTGGATCGAAAGGTATATTCATTTTATTACCAGGCAGTATCATAGGCACGACTTTAACGCGAAACTCGTATGGCATAAAGTCCTGACAGAAATGATGAAAATCACTACGAGTAGTAATAATATTCAAGCGACTCATTTCTTTCAACAGAGCCTCCAATTCGACCTCATAATTTTCATATTTCTTACGGCGCTCAATAACAGAGACTATCTCTGCTAATTCTTTTACGAATTTCTCGGACTTGACCCTCGTCGCCAATTTGTACTTCGGCTCCATACGCCGCCACAGGAATCTATAAAGACGATCTGTGGCCCAATACTTCGGACGAGGAAGCTTCGGTGCTTTATACGGCTTGCCATTTACTAGGAATGCCTTGTGTACTGCTTTCGTAGGTTTCGCGGGCGGCTTCTTCACAGCTTGTCTGAGCGCAACAGATTTCGCATCAAAACTCATGTCATGGCCACTGGTAGTTTCCTAAAATAAGTATAAAAAAATATTGAAATTTGAGAAATACAAATGACACTATATTAAATATAAGTGCAAGACAGCTCACTTGACTTAGTTAATCAAATCTCGATTTTTTCGCAAGTATTGAAGGTACTTTCGAAGGAATATTAAGGCTCCTGGGTTGTCACTGCGGCCATATTGAATTTTGACGTCAGAAGCGAGAAATGACACCAAGAATTCTTGCGTGGCATTTCCAAATAAAAAGATATTCGACCAAAAGTACACTTTAGTCCGTTTTAGCACACTTCCAAAAGACTCCGTAAACTATCCTTTTCCCTTGGCAGCTAATAAACAACTCTACAGTAAACGTCAAAGTTAGTCAAATTATGCAAGAAAACACATGATTTGACACTGTCGAAAGGAGTGGAAAATGTCTTTCTACGATTAGAATTCCTCGCTAATCTTAGTTTTCGGAGCTTTTTGGGGGTTTCACGAATAGGTCACACGTAACAGAACTAGCGTAAAAGAAATAATTACGAAAATCCACGCAAGAATAAATTGTGTTGTCAATCTGTCAGTTTTCACGCCTAATACTTCAGCCGGCGACAGGATAGGGTTCTTATTCCTACCGCTAGCGACTATGTCGCCACCGTCATCGCGGAGTTCTCGGCTCAGGGACCAGGAGCCTTAAGACTGTTACTAGATCTCTGTCTCTTTATAGCATGTTCCCTCGTCGAAAAGGAACCCTGTGATTTTTCATTCTGTGGAATATTTTGGGTACTGTCCTGCAATAAGAAATAATACCTCTCATTGAGATACTGTTTAATTGAAATAAAACAATAAGTTAATTTACTTACTAAATCGACAATATCAGTCTCTTTGAGTGTTAAAGTGTCTTCAAGTTTTGCCTCACACTTTTTCACCGCTGCAGTACATTTTTCAACATTATCACATGTTAAGTCTGCTTGCTTTACCACGGATGCTTTATCACAGACACATTTACGTGAGTCTGCTAGCATATCCAGAATCTGAGATTGCAAAGTTCGTTTCTCGGTCTCATAAGCCATTATTCGATCTTCCGCGTCTCTAAAAACATGCGGTAGTAATAGAATTTAGGAAGGATGATTCTAAGAAAACAATGATTTCGTGTGTCAAGAACATACATACTTTAGCTTAGCAAACTCCTCTCTTAAAGTCTTGTATCTCATAGAAACATGCGAGAAGTGTTCTTGTAATTTCATATACTTCTTCCTAATTTCTTTGATCTTGTCAAACCTTTTCTTCACTTCCCTGAAAAATTCAGTAAGTTAATCTATATTATTATCTTACTATACCTCCATATACAACAAATAATATCAAATATATTTAATATATAAAATACCTCCTTATCGCTGTCACGTATGTTTGCAGCTTGGGCACGTTTTCTATTTTTATTATTACATCATCATCCATCTCGTTTGCAGGTTAATCCATGATTCTCTGTATGCTATAAGATCAACAATCGAGATTAAATACAAATTTGAAAACTGCACATACATCTCTAAAACTTACAGCGAAATACTATGAAAAAAAACATACTTCTTTAAATGCTCGAGCTTTTGCTTTAATTCTTCATTCTCCTTTGAAAGATTGCTTGCATCAGAACATTGCTGTTTGTAAAAATTAACCTGGTCTTGAAGCGCGTAAATCGCATCATTCTTGCCGCTTATTTCAGTTTCAACCCTCTGAACTTCATGTCTCAAGTCAGTCGCCTGCTTCTTCAACTTTTGCTTATCCTCTGCAAGATTATTGATAGTGCTGTCTTTTAGCTTCACTTGAGAATTCAAATTATCAATTTTGCACTGCAGGGAAGCGGGGTCTTCTATGATACTGTCATTGTTTGGAATGTTGAAAAGTATCCTGAATATACTCTGCTCCGTCGTTCTCTCCTGACATTGCGGACAGGTCTCGGATCTGAAACAATTTTACATTAGATGATGTAGTAATGATAAGTGAAGCTTCCAATTTTGGAACACATGTAGCAGTGTTAAAAAGTGGCGGTGTAAAAAAGTTATCTTATATTTAAACATTTAATATATTTAATATATATGAAGACAGCGGTCCTTTGACTCCTACGAAAAGTACAGGTCCTCGTAGATGTTTTCAATAATCAGAATTTTTATGGGGAACAGGTGATCAGCCAATCGCACTATACCCGATCATGAGTGTTGGACTCTCCTTAGGTCTTTAATTTCAGAGGCTAAACATTTTTATTCGCGAGCGATACAAAAACTCTCGAGAATTATACATATAAGCCTCCTTAAATAACAGGCAAGGCAAGAGCTGCGAGAGATGTGTTCGATGCAGTATTTAAGTACCTACCTTTTGAGCCACTGTACCAGGCACGGAAAATGGAAGATGTGTCCACATGATGTGTTGCAAACATTGTCGGATGGTGTCAACAATGTTTTACATATCACACATTCTATATTCATCTTCCACAGATCCGTCGACGCAGAATTGACGACAGTCCTGGACGGTCCTGACTGCAAGTGACACCGCTTCGGGTTGGACGACCGTTGCGAGTTTCACGATGAAGAGCTCGCGATATTTCGCGATCCAATAAGGATTCAGAGTTTTAGATCAGGTGAGTTAAGGCCTTTGCACGTAAAAAAGCGTTAACCGTAACCGTAATTTTAGTCCGTAATCGTAGTTTTCAACACGTACAGACAGATGGAGCAACCCAAGTAAAATTCCTAAGGTTACGGACTAAAATTACGTAGGGTCCGTAGGTTATGGACTAAAATTACGGTTACGGTTAATGCTTTTTTACGTGCAAAGGCCTTTAAAGCTAAATCCTGATTGGCAACACGTCGTAGCGACGTAGCCAAGCGTCGAGCGCACACGTTTTTACGACGTGTTGCTTGCGTGCGAGCGTGCGTGCGCAGACCGACTATCCCCACTCCATCCCCACCGCCGCGGCACCGTCCGTGCTAACGTTCTCGGCTGGGAACAACTTTTTGATCCCACGGGGTTGCGTCATCCCGCGCGAGGCCCGGTAGCATGGGCCTCTGCGTTGTGTGACATCAAAAAGATGATTACACGATAATAAGACATTTACATCAAGACTTATTGGTTCGTCGTGGCCGTATCGGCTGCATCGTGGGCTAATAAATATTAGAAGAAGAATATTTTGCCGATCGATATATCGCAACGTCGGTAAGGACGTTTGCTATCTATTTGCTGGATCGACGTATCATAAGAGCAGCGTGCGGCATCGTGCGACAGATGGCGCCCGTTGTCCCGTTCACTTTTGAATCCGCCGGATCCGCGCCGCGCTGGGGGCACCTAGCTCGTAGCTGTTGCATTCGCCGCTTCGTCGCTCGTTCGGTTTCTATGTCGGCGCGTTTTCGGACCTGGGCCTAGCCGTTGCCGCTGCAGCAGTCGGCGGAGTCGCCGCCATGGTTCCGAATTGCACGCTCGAGCTGAACAAGCTGATGAGCGAGCTGGAAATAAGCGAGTTGGAGGTGAGTCGCGGGTCTGCGCGGGCGAGTAACACTTTGTAGGTTACGTCGTTGTCGCCGAGCTCGGCTCGGCTCTTTTTCACGCGTTCGACTTGGCGGCGAGAGACGAAGTGCGCTTCGAGTCGAGTGCCGTTGGTGCGGAACGGGACTGTTTATTATTTATTCGTATTCTGTTGTTTCAGTCGCCGACCGGAGTTGTCACCGCACAGGCCTACATGCGACTGCTGGCCACCTACCTCCATCAGAATGATCTGTGAGTGGAGTAGACTTTCTGCCGTACATATTGCGGTTTCCGTTTGATTTATTAAAGATATTATACCTCTTAGCAAGGATACGTTATACCTTGAGTCCTCGAATAGACATTTCATCAATTCTGTTTCATTAATAAGTCAGGCCAGTTAAGACCAGCAATTTAAATGCATCAAGGTATAAAGATGATATCTAATTTACGTAGGGCTGGGAAGTAACGCGTTGCTTGTAACGCAACATTTTTGCGCCCCTACAAATCTTTTATAATACATGAGGCAAGGTTACCATTTAACTAGAAAACGAAAAACCGGGTCCGAGAGTCTCTCTGCTTGTCTCTCGCGAATCTAAGCGCGAACGCCGCGCGAAATGTTTCGTCAAGCCAAAGTAAGACGACCGGTCTTACTTTTGCGCGCGACGCGACGCCCTCGAGACGCGGTCGGTTCCCGCTGTCCAGCGGTCCGCTTGAATGAGTGACCTGATGGTTACAGATGCAACGCCAAGTACCTCTGGAAGCGAATCCCCCCGGACGTGAAGGCGGCCAACGAGGAGCTCACACGGGTGTGGACGGTGGGGCAGTGCATGTGGCAGCGCAACTGGCCCGCGGTTCACGCGGCCCTCAATGTGGAATGGAGCGAGGACATCAAGGACGACATGGCGGCCCTCAAAGGTAAGGCCCTGCTCGCACTGGAGGATATATTGGGAATAGGAACAAGCGTCAAATCCAGGGTTGGGAAAGTATCTAGTTACAGTTGCAAATCACCAATTCTGAAAAGTAACGCGTTACAGTTACTCGAAAAGTAACGAATCGTTACTTTGCAGTTACTTTCTCGCAGTAAAAATACAAATATCAAATCTGCATCTGAATTTCAAGTGTCGATAGAGTTTACGCGCAAAGGCAAGACCTAAATGCGATCGGTGGATGTTCAAAATGTATGTAAAGTAACTATTAATATATAACTATATATAATGTAACTATTAAATTAGTTATCGACAAAATGTAACTGAGTTAAGTTACAGTTACAGACGGAGAGAAAGTAACGAAGTTAAGTTAGAGTTACCAAAAAAGTAACTAACTGTAACTTCGTTACAAGTAACGGGTTGCTTCCCAGCCCTGATTAAGTTCATATTGTTTTAATTCACAACCTGGCAAATTATGACTGTATGACGCGATCTTTTTATAGTTACTTGTATTCTATATCTCTTCACTATACGTTACATCTAATCTCTCTTTTCTCTAAAATTTAGTCCTATTCCTAATATTTTCCCTGTTATGCGTAGAGTCTAGTCAGTAAAACGATGAACTTCGGGCTAATAAAACGCGAATGATTCGTCCGCTTGGACAGAAATAACAATAATTAACTACGTCGGTCGGCGAATTATAGCCATTTACGCTTTTCTCGTGCAAGCAGACACGTAGTTTTGTTTCGTAGCAAGAGAGCATGTGTCTGCGACAAGTTATTTGCGCGTATAGGGATGCGATTTTAACGAGGATAGAAATTTGTTAAGTCGTTGGACGCGGATCCGATTTTAAAAATATACAATTGCAATACATCACTTACGACTCTTGGTTCCATACAATTGTCATTTGTCGAGCTGGTCTCGTACGAGAGAATATTTGGCATTTCAATGAATATCGCACACGCGGGTCAACTCTGGTGTAACTACGGCAAGTTGCTTTCCTTATTTAGCGCCCCGTATCTGTAGAGGCGAGGACTAAATATGTACCTCATTATAATTAACGATCAATTGCTATTAAACCCACCGTCTACGGATAATTTATCGCTCGCAGCGCCGGCCGATAATCGATTATTCAAGCGGAATCCGCACGGCGCCCGCTCGGGAAGTCGGTCTTTACCTCGAACTGCCCGCTCTTTGTTAAGGAAACGAGAGGAGTTTTCCGCTAACTCGAGATCTCCCTCCCCGCCCCTCCTCTTCCGCCTCGACCCCGATTTTTGCAGACAATGTTCGAGAGCGGGTGATGAGGCTGATATCGAAGGCGTACTCCTCCCTGAACCTGACCACCATGGCGACGATGAGCGGCATGTCGTTGGACGAGGCGCGCCGGGCCGCCATCGACAGGGGCTGGCACGTGGACGATACCATAGTGCAGCCGCGCAAGCAGGTCGACGAGGAGCAGTACAATCAATCGGACAAGGTCTGCCTGACGGAGGAGCAGCTGCAGAAGCTCACGCAGTTCGTGTCCTTCCTGGAGAATTGAGGGCGCCTCGCCGTCACCCGGAGCCTCGGCGTGCGAATCCGCGGGGGTTGCCCGTTAGCGGACGGACTCGGCTACTCTCCTCTCGCAATCTCTCGCCCCGTAATTCTATTATATAAAGGAGGAAGTGCGCGCCAAAGGTAGCGTCGTCTCGGTGTTCGCGTCCGTAAAATAGGCATCCTCCGAGTGAGAGAAAGGGAGAGGGCGAGGGAGAAAGAGAGAGAGAGAGAGAGAGGGGGGGTGTGGAAGCGACGGAGATAGAGACGGAGAGGCCTGCCCACGCGGTTTGCCCGTTCGATCGGAAGGATAATTCAATGAAGCTCCTCGCAAGCGTGGAATCAACAACTATATTAATCGATAATCAGCTGTGCGTGCGAGAGGGCGGACTGGCATTTGCGGAAAGGGATCCTCCGGCGGGAGCGCGCCTCTCCCCTCCCGCCCCTCCCGCCCGCCGTCGTCCTCCGCTGGCCGCTCCGCTGCCTCCTCTCCTACCTCGGGGACGCTGGATCCCGTGAAAATCAACGCAGCGTTCGCGGCCGTTCGCGCCGCCGTAATTATCAAAGTGGATCAAGCCGCAGTAAGAATCGCGCAGGTAGCCGTTAACGTTCCTCGCCGGGCGACGACAACGCACACCACTTCCTCCGGCGGCGCGCGTACACTGCGCTGACGGACTCGCCGTGATCGATCGGGAGAAGAGTGGAAGGAACGAGAGGGCGCGAAAAAGGATCGGGACTCGTTTCGAGCGGTGTGCCCCGCTCTGGATTTTGATTAAGTGTTTTGTAGCGGCAAGTGAGTGTTCGTTACTTGTTTCTTTTCCCCCGTTTACCGACCGTACCATTATCCCCATGCAACATCTCCCTCCTCACATCGCATACCGAAGAAACACTTTGAGACGGATGTAAATATTGTGGACTCACGATCGACGATTGTTTCTCCTGTTATTTACCGAGAAAATAAATTAATGATGCGCTTGTAATTGTCATGATTATTTGGAGGGAAGAAAAAAAAAGACACTCGCACATAGTTGTCGCCGTTCGGGAATTGCAACACGTTGATCATGAAGATCTAATCGACGTGGATCCGTAGAACTGACTGTCACTAATTCCAGTCAACTTGCTTAACTCCGGTCAACAGGGCCTTTTAAACTTGGAACGCCGAGGGAATTATAAGCACGTGGTAAATTAAAAATGGATCGGTCCCAAGCGACGAAATCAATTGGCGTTCTATGGCGAAATCGGCTGTAACGTAAATTGGAACGATCAATCATCAAGTTCCACCTCGTACGTAGCCTCGTACTCGCACGGAGTTACCGCAAGAGTATATACAATTTTCGCAGATTGCGTTCCGATCCCTCCCCCGATCGAGGGATCGAAGGCGAGGATGATCTCGCCGCGTGAAAGCCGAACGATCGCGGGGAAAAGTCGCGCCCGGGACGATTCGCGAGGTTGCGTCACGCAAATCGAATCGCCGCGCGGGGAAAAATCGGCACGCGGGCCGATACACGTTCGAGAGGCGGCGCACAATGATTCCCCACGAAATCGATTTCTGGCCGACCCAACCCGCCGGCATTGTTGTGCCGCCGATCGCGCGCGCGCGCGCGTCGCGGTGATTACGCAATCTCGTGGGTATTCTCGAGGAGACCTGCGGCGGGCAGGTAGCTCGCGATCTCTCGCTACTCAAGCACCGCTACTCCGAGGCTCTTGCTCTTTTTTTTCGGGCCCCGCCGACAACTCTAGAAAGTTGTTGCACCAGTATCGCCTAGTCCTACACACGCGCGTGTCCGCTAATCCGCGCCTCGCCTGCACGCGTCTCTCTACAAAGTGCTGAAAAGCCACGGTGCAGATCGTCGGCGTCGAGGTGCTCGAAGCACCTTTCGTTGCGGGCACCGTTTTCACCCGCGGGCTCGTCCCCGTACAAAGCCGAGTCTAATAACAGCAGTCAACTCTGGACAATCTAGCGTCCCGACGAATAGATTAATATTAATATATTTAATTGCCCTGTCATTTAAATGCGCATTCTTGAGGGCAATTTATAAAAACAAATTTTGGATTCACGGCCGACCTGAGGCGACTTTTCTGCATCTTCATTAAGAAGGAATAAATTGACAACAATTTTAATTTGGTTGGATCCATTGACTGTGGAAACTGAAACTATGTCAAGGATTTAAAAAGAAGCTATAAACGTGGGTCTAGAAGTGTTTTGTTTTATTTGCGAGCGGTTGTAAAAAATTTTGCTGTATGAGAATAAATAAGGCCTGCGTTCACGATGCTAGAACTTGGTCCAAGTTCTAGTTTCGAGAAACGTGTAGCCAATCGACTTGCAGCTATTCCATAAAAGCTGCAAGTCGACTGACTACATTTCTCGGAACTGGAAACTTGGACCAAGTTCTAGCAACGTGGACACAGGTCTTTATCCACTGATCTCAAGTGAATTTTAACTAAAGTAATTTTAAGTATATCATTATGAAGATTAATTGTAGAGATATCTAATATCGAAAATGCATTCTTAAAGACGGCAAGGTTACAAGGTTTTCAGTAAAGGGAAATTCGCTAAACGATTTCCAAATGATGATACGAGAAATGTGCAGCCGATCGACTTGCAGCTATTCCATAAAAGCTGCAAGTCGACTGACTACATTTCTCGGAACTGGAAACTTGGACCAAGTTCTAGCAACGTGGACACAGGCCTTTATCCACTGATCTCAAGTGAATTTTAACTAAAGTAATTTTAAGTATATCATAAAGATTAACTGTAAGGACATTTAATATCGAAAATTCATACTTAAAAGGCAAGGTTTTCCGTAAAGGGAAATTTACGATTTCCAAATGATGATACGCGCGCGTAGCTTTTCAGCAGTTTCTATATAGGGCGCCTCTGCTAGATTCTCACACCTACGGCTTCGCGAAGCATCGAGGAACGTGAGAATCGCCATGAAGATCTGCCGCGTTCGTTTCTACTCGCGGAACGATTGTTTCGATCTTCGCCGATCGCGTCGACGGTGCGCGCCATTCGATTCGCCCGCGCCGGGATTGCGAGTATTTCGCGGGGAATATACATGCTAACGAGAGAAGTTGAAACGCTCTCGTCGGACTCGCGCACGTTGGATTCGCTTCTATTATGCGGACTAGAATGCATATCACGCTGTGTACCCTCCGGAGTCACGAAGGTGAAAGCTTTTGTAGCGCCGCCTTTTTCTCCGTGGAATAGATCGAGATGTGCTTTCATTTCGGGAATATACGTTTTACCAGACTCCTCGCAAATGGCGGAAGGAGAGAGATTTGTGTTTATAAGAGAACTAAATTAAGTAATCTGGAACTTAATTATTGTGTTGGATGTAACAATCTTTCTTTGAAAAATGCAGACGCTCTGTAAATTACATCTATCAAATCGGCCGATTACTGATTTCTAATTAACATTTTTTTTATCTTCAAGAAAGGATATCAACTTATCCATCGCACATCAAACTATATTATTCTTGAAAATACTCTCGTGCGCTTTGATGAAATAACCAAATTTATATTCTTGCATCCTCAGAAAGGATTTCTGTTTAAAATATTCCTTTCTCTATACTAAATATGATTGGCGCGTGTCGATCCTATTTTACGATACATTCAAGTGCAATAGGCATTGGATCTGGAGATGTTTTCTGTTTGTGTGAGATAAAGTCTCCGTCTTTCACTTCCGAAAGGAGATTATCGTAGAATCGCGAGGATAAAAATTTCAATGAAACGGGGAACCTGCCCCAGTATTCCCGCGAGGCCCCTCGAAGCCTCTTCCGCGCGGCAGGCGCATCCCGGAAGTCGTTAGAACGCGTTCGATCGGCGTATCCCGATCGAGGGCGCCTCGGCTAATTTTCGCGCGTTAATTCCGACGTGTGGGAATGCTCGCAGAAAAGCGCTCAACCTGTCGATCGCACGCGGAGAAGGAAGGCGTATTCCCACGCGCGAGGCCTATCCTAGACGCCCGGCGTTCCGCATCGGGTACGCGCGATCGCGATCGGCGCGAATAATCGGTATCGAAAAAAGGCGCTGCCCGGGGACCAGCGGGGGGTGGCGAGGCGAGCACGCGCGGTCCGGGATGTGGCCCCGGATGCGAGGCGCGAGGTCCGCGATGACGGGGCCCGACCCCGGGCCCTCGTTCGTACCCGCTTACCGCGAGGCCGGCTCGCGTGCGGGCCTTCTCTCAACACCGTTCGCGCGTTGAATAATGCAGATTCATCCGGCGAGATGATTGCATCGCGATATCGCACCGCGATATTCTTTTTCGCCGATACCGAAGCGACGGAGAGGAGGCGGGCGGAGGAAACGATCACGCGAACGGCCGCAGCTCGCGGACATTGCCCACGGTGAGGATGCCTCGTTTGCGCTTCGCTCGCGGATTGTCGAACGTTTCGCGTTTCTCTATCGGTCTTCGTTAACCTTTCGGCGAGACCTCGCTTACGGGGCCCCGGGAATTTGTCTTGGCCACGTCTCGCCGGCTGATTGAGCCGCAGCCTCGATTTGGCGCGGCAATGGGAGAAACAGATGCCCCGCAACAACGTGCTCCGTTAATTGTCCACAAATATATCTGGGTGCAAATTTAAAAATCGTTCATAAACACAAGTAGAATGGGGACGCAACGAATATGGCGAATGAAGATGTAATCGATCGACATGGCATGGGATTAAGTACGATATTTTTACGCAAAGCTAGAAGAGTTATATCTGGAGAACTGGGATCTAAAATGTCAAAGATAAATTGAATTCGTACATTAAGATTGATTATTCCCAGGCAGATAGCCTACATTTTTTCTTACGGTTTAAAGGAGACCACACACACGCACCGCGGGGAAATAAACATGAAAAAGTATCGTGCATAAGAGCGTAATTACTTTGATATTTCGTAAAAGACGTATATGAAATTAACGTAACGTGCAGCTCTTATTGCTGAATTCCTCCGATGTGTGGAGAATGAAATTGCAACCGCGGTGATTTACGAGAATGTAATTTATTTGCCCCACGGCGATATAATCGAAGCGAACTATCAGGCAGCGAGGGAACACACTGTGCCAAAGCCTTCCCGGCTAGTTGCCGCAAATACAGACATTAGCGGATGGCTCTTCTTACGTCTGTCCGATCGTCCATCATCGGTAATCCCGCGCAGCATGGAAACTACCCTGCTGTAATAATTGCACGTTTCAGTCGGACATTTAAACAGAAACGTGAAAAATCGTCTTAAGAAATACTAACGCTACGAGTTGATCAAGAGAAGAGACTTAAAAATTACATATCGAGGATGTGTAAAATTATTGAACAATAAGATCTCTGAGTTTTACAAGTACGTTAAAGTTGGAAAACGTTTCGATTGTGTATTAATTATATAAAGATCGGCGGCGAAACCGTTGTGAAATTAATCCTTTTCCGAATGAACCAGCGCACCCTCCGATGGCGGCATCCCAGTTTCGACGTTCAACCGTCTACGTTGCCAGTCCGCCAAAACCAAGGCGGACTTTTATTAGAGGCACCCCATGATTATCCCGGCGCAGCGCGCGACGCGGAGTATTAGCGAGGATAAGCGAGCTTCGGTTTGCAACATTAAGCGAAGTGAAGGTGAGAGGCGAGAGAGGGAAGAGCCAGGCCGGGTTACCGGTTACCTCAGCTGACCTCCCCTCGCGCGTAAGAGTACGCGCCGGTGACTCGCGTCTTCTTTCCCGAGCTCGCTCGCGCTCGCTTACGGTGACCTTTGCGCGTCGCGGAAAACCGCCGATGCTCTCCGCGCGAGCGAGCGAGCGGCACGAATCGAACGAACGCGCGCGACTAGTCGATTTCGTAAGTCCCCATCGCGCACGCGGCGACGGCTGCGGAAGAGTCGCCGGGGTGAGACGTCGAGGACGAGGAGCGGATGATGATGATGATGATAATGATGAAGAGAAGAAGAAGAAGGCCGGCGGGCCTCCGACGAGGATTCCCCTTCGCCGGCTTTTCTCCCCCCCTCCACC